CGGCACAGGGGGCGACACCACGCATGCACGGTGCTCCCGGGCAGGGAAAGTCCTCAACTTATGACAGGTTGGGTAGTCCTTGACTTACGACCGGTTGGGGGTCGCGGCCTTAAAAAGGTTGAAAGCCACTGATCTAGTCAATCCATCAGCTGATTTCTAACCAATCTGGAGGTCAACAAACCCTCCAACATTCCCTTAAACAGGAAGATTGCCTGGGTGATATCCGAGTTCAAAGGGACTTAATAAGTGTGGCCTGACTAGTTCCCAAAGTATACGAAGAACTGCAGTCTGTCTGATCACCCAAGAAGCATTCCAAAGCCCAACCTGGATGGTTAAAAGAAAAATAAATCCAGAGGGTGAATGCAGAAACTCATGCCCATGCAGATGGGCAGAATGTCCCCTGTATAATGCTTCCTTGCCTTTCATTTCACCTCTTGCGTTCTTCTCCAATCTTCTCTATCTGCTTGCCATTTTCCCTGCTCCTCTGATGACCCCCTTCCCTCCATTTTTATTTATTTTATTTTTTGAGTTCACTTCTTCTGCGAGCTCCCTAACTCTTTCCTGTGGTTCCAAATATCAGGCAGCAGCATCCAGAGACAAGACTTATTCTAGCCATTGTTGGGATTTTGCAATGAGGACCACATCGATTTACAAATAAAATAAAGGTAAACGTTTGAAAGAGACACGAGTTTTAAAAAACGAAGCAGAGGAAGTCAAAATAGACCTGGCCTGTGCTTGTGTGGAATTCGGGGATGCAACAAACAAAAGCTGCTGCAGAAAATGCCCACTGAGATTTAAAATTTCAAGGAGTTTTGAACTGTCTCCCATTTCTCCCCTCGATTAAGCAACAGTTCACACAAATACAAACAGTTCAAGAATCACTGCCCCCTTTTATGACTGGAAGGTACCTCCAGATTTAAATTGTGGCCATTATAGCAAGGGATGTGAGCTTTTTGCAGTAGCTGCGTGCCAGAAGTCTTGTATCAGCACAGCAAAATATTAACTGCTTAAAGGTTAACTTGCCCCCCGGGAGACTGATTCTAAATTGAAACACATTCCAAACGCCAGTCTAGTCATACCAAATGCTTTCTTGTTACCCAGAATCCACCAGGATCCACCATCCACTATCAAGGCTATGCTGAGACTATTGGAATTAAATAGGGGTCTCCAAATTTTAAGACTTGTGGACTTCAACTCCCAGCATTCATAAGTGCTAAAGTGGATAAGTTTGGGGACCCTTGGAATCAAGAATGTAGCACGTGTGTCTATTACCAGCAAACCTTTTTTTTAAATTCTTATTGTCTTGCATTGGAAATATTCAGTATGGATCTGCTTTCCAGCCATAGAGATTGACAAGGGCTTCAAAACATTCCTCAGTTGAGCCATGAAGGTGGGTTTAGATCAGGGCTTATTAATTACAGAAACCAGATTTTTTAGAATAACATGTATTGCTGTCTAAATAGCTCAATACGGTCTGTTTATACCAGTGTTTCTCAACCTTGACAATTTTAAGCCATGTGGACTTCAACTCCCAGAATTCTACAGTCAGCATTGCTGGCTGTGGAATTCTGGGAGTTGAAGTCCACATGCCTTAAAATTGTCAAGGTTGAGAAACACTGGTTTATACAAATAAATAATTTTGCATGTCTGCACAGCCAGAATGCTTATTGTATGTTAAAAGGTTTGGGTATGATAATAATGCAAATATTTTAGAAATCACAATGAAATAAAGAATCATAATTTCAGGATCAGTTGTTATTATCTCTACATATTCCTCTTGTCCTGGAACACCAATAGATCTGGGGGGGGAAACTAGGGGTGGGTGGTCTACATAACGCCAGAAAGTCCATGGTGAATGAAGCAGGAAAGTTCTGTAGATCAGCAAAGTCCTGAGCAGGACATGAATACATTCATTTTTCAAAACTATATTTTGATCCTGATTTACACCCAAAATGCCCCAAATTGTTTACAATCAGTAAATGTCTTGTTTGGTCCAGATTATAAACCAAAACTGATTTTCATTTTAAAAAAAGATAGTTATACTAAAATTATACAGTGCAACGTAAACTATTTCTGATCCGCATCATCTCCTTCTATGCGAAGTGGTTACACATATTCCATCCAAACAATTTCCTTCGCATTCTAGCAGGAGCAATTTAATTCAAAACAGCAATGAATTTAAGGCATTCCAGTGTAATCATAAGCAGTTATGAGGTCACATTTGAAGCATATCTTCAACCATTTCCCATCAGGCACTGAAGCCTACATAATTTTTTAAAATCAAGTGGAATACACCCGATCCCAATGATCTTCCACTTTGTGTGGAATTAGCTGTCCTGTCCAACGCTAATGAATTTTCATGCACAGAAAAGGCGGTTTCCTAATCGAACGGACCCCAAAAGACCAGAATGGGCCTTGCTAAGAAGATAAGTACGGCTGCTAAAAAGTGATCTTAAAACTCTGAATTCCAAAACTGGGGCATTTTGCTAACAAGCACTTTTTCAGATGTGCAAAGATGGCTTGACAGTATTGATGGCCCCTTTTTGCAGCTGGCTTGCCTGAAATGTAAAATCTGCAATACGCATTTTATCTTCTGGTCAAACGAGCCTCAGCATCACCCAGGATTCAAAAATACAAATCAAACCCATCAGCTTTAATTTCCCAAAAAAAAAAAAAAAAAAAAAAAATCAAGGCCAGTGCTTGTATTTACATAAATTAGCTTTGCAGAGTCCACCCTTCCTTTCCTTTTAAGTGACTCAAAATTCTGGCTTTTTTTTTTTTTTCCTGACATTGGATATCTTTTTGGCAACCCTGCAGCAGGACCAGAAGATCTCCCCAGCAAAACCACAACTTTGTGGATTGTGAAGCACAAACTATTTTGTTCTGCCCCCCCCCCCCCGTTAACGATTCAAACCGTTAAAACGAAACAAAACGCGAAGCCCCCTCCTCCGATCCAGCCCCCATTTCCCAGGAATCTATACCCCTCCTCAAGCTGATGAGACAAACATCTGTAGGAGTGATCTTTATCCACATCTGGGGCTGGACGTATTGGGAATGCGTGGACGGGAAGGAAAACTTGGGAAAAGTGGGGGGGAGAAGAAAGCAAAAACGGAGACTTGCGGGGACCGGCGCGTTGTGCAATAAGTTCACACTGCGCAATAAAATTGTATGTTTGTTGTCACTGTGAGTTGTGCGTGGGGGGGGTGTGTGTGCACGAAGGGAGGCTTAGCCAATCTCATTGTACACATGTTGTACTTTTGACAATAAAGGTTGATTTGATTTCATTTATTCCACACGTTGCTCGCTCCGCAGACTATTTCTACCGGGTATTTTGGGGGGGGGAACCAAATAGCTCGACCAAAAGTTGGAGCAGAGAAGGGAATTTGCCCCAATTTTTTGCCCCCCCCTCCCCAATTTGACAGAAACGGCCCAACGCTGCAAGCCAAGATGCGCCCCCCCCCCCCCGGGACGCTCTTGGGAGCGTCAGCCAGTCTTCCGAAAGCCTCTTCCTTCGCCCCCGCAACTCGGGCCAGGGAAAAAACGGCCTTTCCAGAAGAAGGAATCTGCCCCCCCCCCCCACACCCAGCGCTCCGCCGTCCCGGCCGGTTGCAGCAGCAGCCCAATTCTCAGAAACAGCCTTCCCAGAAGGGGGGGGGGGGGAAAGGATGCGGAGCGAGCAAAGGAGCCGAGGACGCGCTGAGAAACCGGCAATTCGGCAGCTGAGACTGCGCTGCGTTCGCAAGAATTGGCAGCTCCGCAGCGAGGAGTCCGGAGAGAGGAGACCACGCGGAGAAGCCCGCTCCCTCCCTCCCTCCCTCTCTCTCTCTCTCTCCCTCCCCCTCGGCAGCCTTGTCAGGGGCAAAGTAGGGAGGGCCTCCCCCATCCCCCCAACACACACAGACACACAGAGAGAGAGAGAGAGGGAGAGAGAGAAAGGGGGAGGGAGAGGGAGAGAGAGAAAGAGGGAGAGGGAGGGAGAGAGAGAGAAAGAGGAAGCAAGAGAAAGAGGGAGGGAGAGAGAAAGAGAAGGAGAGAGAAAAAGGGGGAGAGAGGGAGACAGAGAAAGGGAGAGAGAGAGAGAGATGGAGAGAGAGGGGGGAAGAGGGAAAGAGAGAGCAAGAGAGAGGGAGAGAAAGAGGGGGGAGAGGGAGAGAGAGAAAGAGGGAGAGAGAAAGAGGGGGGAGAGGGAGAGAGAGAAAGAGGGAGAGAAAGGGGGGAGAGAGAGAAAGAGGGAGAGAGGGAGAGAGAGAAAGGGGGAGGGAGAGGGAGAGAGAGAAAGAGGGAGAGGGAGGGAGAGAGAGAGAAAGAGGAAGCAAGAGAAAGAGGGAGGGAGAGAGAAAGAGAAGGAGAGAGAAAAAGGGGGAGAGAGGGAGCCAGAGAAAGGGGGGAGAGAGAGATGGAGAGAGGGGGGGAAGAGGGAAAGAGAGAGCAAGAGAGAGGGAGAGAAAGAGGGGGGAGAGAGAGGGAGAGAGAGAAAGAGGGGGAGAGAGGGAAAGAGGGGGGGAGAGAGAGGGAGAGAGAGAGAGAAAGAGGGAGAGGGAGGGAGAGGGAAGGAGAGAGAGAGGGAGAGAGAGAAAGGGCGAGAGAGAGAGAAAGAGGGAGAGGGAGGGAAAGAGGGGGGGAGAGAGAGGGAGAGAGAGAGAGAAAGAGGGAGAAGGAGGGAGGGAGGGAGAGAGAGAGAAAGAGAGAGAGAAGGGAGAGAGAGAGACGGAGAGATGTCCAAGCTTTTCTCCTACTGTCCCGTGGCGGGGAAAGGGAAACTCTCGCCTCTCCGGAGCGCCCTGTACCCAAGAGCGCAACCGGCAGCCGGCCAGCCCAAGCCCCCGCGGCGGCTCCTCCACGGCCTGGCGGGGGCCCCCGGTCGCCTCCTTCGGCCGGGCAGCGGCTGCGCCTCCTTTCCGCCGCTTCCCCACCCCCCCCACCCTCCCCCTGCCACGTGGGGAGCGCCCCGACGCGCCCGCCCTCTCCTCCCGCGGGGACCCCGCTCCGGCCGGGCTCACCTTGCAGCATGGCCTCCAGTTTCTTTCGGTCCACGCGGAAGCGCTCCTCGCCCCACTCGGGGCTGTCCGGGCCGGCGCGGGAGGGCCCGACCGAGCAGCCTCCGCCGCCGCCTCCTCCTCCTCCGTCGCTGGGCAGGGGCGAGTCGGCGCTGCGCTCGCTGTTGGAGCCCGGGTCGGAGAGCGGGTAGCCCGGCGGCGCGGCCATCCTCGGGCCGGCCGCTGCGCCCCACTCGCCGGCGCCGGCGGCGACCCCGGCCCCGTCGTCCTCGGCGGCCGCCGCCTGCTCCGCTTCTTCCCCGCAGCAGCAGCGGCAGGAGCCGGAGCCGCCGCCCCCGCGGGAGGCTATCTGGCCCCAGAGGAGGCCGCCCCCGGCTTCATCCCAGCCCGCCAGAGCCTCGCGGGCTCCCCCGCCGCTCCCCGCCGCCTCCAGCTCGGGCTCCCCGCCGGGCGCGCAGCCGGAGCTGCAGCCGCCGCTGCTGGCCTCGCACAGCGCGCGTCCCGGGCCGGCGCCGGCGGCTCTGCTGCGCCCCCATCCCGCCCGCAGTCCGCACAGCATCCCCGCCTCCTCCATGGAGCAGCGCCCGCCCAGCCGCCGGAGCCGGAGCCGGAGGGGAGGCAGGCAGGCGGGCAGGCAGGCCGAGGCCGGGCTGAGGAGCGCGGGGGCGGGTCGAGCGCACAGCCGGGGGGGGGAGGGGGGTGGTGGTGGTGGTGCTGAACGCGGGACCGGGGCGGCCGGGGGTGGCGGGTGCTGTCGCTGGACGGGCCCGAGCAGGTCTGTCCGGAGTCGGGAAGGCCCCGCCCCGCCTAGTTATGCCTTCCTCCTCCTCCTCCTCCTCCTCGCCTGCAAGCGGCCCGGATCCTGCAAGGCGAAAGGCATCAAAAGGGCTCATCTCTTTTTTTAGTGCTGCGCTAGAGGGGTTGAGGGGTCTATGGGTTGCAGTTAACTTTGCAAAAATAGCTCATTTTAATTTTCAGAAATGACAGAAAAGCAAGAGGGAGGGAGGGAGACCTCCCAGGGGCCGAGGAGGGTGGCAGGACCCCCCCCCCGCCAGGGCCATCCCCAAGTTGATTCGGGATTGCTGGATTCCCCCCCCCCCCCCCCCGCCGCTGGATCTCTCTGGGACCATCTCAGCAAAGGGCGGAATGGATAGTTGTTGTTAGTTGCGAGAAGTCATGTGGGTGTGTTTCCTGATCTCTTGTACCCATTCTATAGTTATAGTAGTTTACTGGTTAAGGGACTGAGGTAGGAAGTCTGAGGTTCAAAACCCCTTCAAAGTCAATGAGCCAATGACTTTCCTTCATCCCACCTTGCCTCATGTGTTTATTTTGTTGTTGTTAGTTGAGAAGACAACGTTACTTCAGTCCTTCCTGTCTTCTACCATCTTCTGGAGTCCATTTAAGCTCATGTCTACTGCTTCTGTGACTCCATCCAGCTACCTCATTCTCTGTTGTCCCCTTCTTCTGTTGCCCTCCATCTTTCAATAGAATAGAATAGAATAGAATAGAATAGAATAGAATAGAATAGAATAGAATAGAATAGAATAGAATAGAATTTTTGTTGTTATTAGTTGCGAAGTCGTGTCCAACCCATCGCGACCGCATGGACAACATTCCTCCAAGCCTTCCTGTCCTCTATCATCTTCTGGAGTCCATTCAAGCTCACTCCTGCTGCTTCAGTGACTCCATCCAGCCACCTCATTCTCTCTTGTCCCATTCTTCTATTGCCTTCAATCTTTCCGAATAGAATAGAATAGAATAGAATAGAATAGAATAGAATAGAATAGAATAGAATAGAATAGAATTTTTTGTTGTTGTTAGTTGCGAAGTCGTGTCCGACCCATCGCAGCCCCATGGACAACGTTCCTCCAGGCCTTCCTGTCCTCTACCATCTTCTGGAGTCCATTGAAGCTCACGCCTACTGCTTCAGTGACTCCATCCAGCCACCTCATTCTCTGTCGTCCCCTTCTTCTCTTGCCCTCCCTCTTTCCCAGCATCAGGCTCTTCTCCAGGGAGTCCTTCCTTCTCATTAGGTGGCCAAAGTACTTGAGTTTCAGCTTCAGGATCTGGCCTTCTAAAGAGCAGTCGGGGTTGATCTCCTCCAGGACTGACCGGTTTGATATTTGCAGCTCTGGGTTGACCTGTGGGGGTCCTTGGTGCTCTCTGACCAGGATGGTTTCCTTGCAAATGTTTCATTACTCAACTAGTAATACATATTGTTGTCTGGTTTGGGTAATGAAACGTGTGCAAAAAACCCCCCAGAGAGCACCAAGGACTCCTCAGGGCTGAATCAGGAGGAGGCAGCTTAAGGCAGAGGTCTCCATCCTTTTGGGCATCAGAGACCTGTTCCATTGAGAAAGATTTTTCCAGGGACCGGAAGGTGTGTGGTTTTGTGTGCTGCCTGCATCCCACAGATGGGGCTTTGCTTGTTTGTGCAGACTGGTTGATGCATGTTGGGACCCGGTACCGGTCTGTGGACTGGCGTTGGGGACCCCTGACTTAAGGCAGAAGATGGATCTTGTCCTTCGGCTGATGGATGGTGTCTGTAGTAGACCAAGCATCCTGGTCCTTCTAGGCAGCCAAACTCCCTATCCACTCTTCCCCATCCAGTTGTTGGGTTTGCAGGTTGCAGAGGTGGTGTCCTTCAGCCCGCCCTTCTCCAGGTTAACCACAAGAAGACCCTTGACAGATATTGAGTGCTTGTGGCCAGAAGGGCACTAGCTGGAGGATCTGGGATTGTGAACTCCCTCCATGTGATCAAGGATCTAATCAGTGTGCTGGGTTCGCACAACACACCAAGTAGGGTTTATGGAACCATGATTTGTAACTGCTTGGCTGGCTTCTCAGCCTGCTGAATTACAGCCTCTCAAATCTCCTTGAAATTATGAGTGTGTAATTTTCTGGTCCAGCATGAGAAAGATTCATTTCACTTTATTACAGGATGTTTTTTTTTTCCCAACTTCCACCCTGGAGTTTCTCTGTAGTTCCCCCCTCCAAAAGACAGCCAGGCTAACTACTGCTTAGCTTCAGAGCTCATCAGTTGTTGCTTGCCAAAACAAGCCATAAGATAGCCAGCCATTTATTTGTCTGAACCCAATTTGATTAGTTTATGGTTTAAATGTTGGATGCAACGTATGCTGCAGGCAGGAAGGCAGAAAGCAGATAACAAATTCTTTGGTCTGTTTTCTTCTTTCCCCAAGTTGCTTTCTCAACCAAGAGAAGCAAGGAAAAAGGGACCAGCAAAAAATGCAGTTTGAGGATGTCAGGTTGAGTTTTTAAAGGACCAGCAGACAAAAGAATGAAGAAGCTTTTCTTCTGTCTTTCCAAGACAAGCTCAATTTAAACTGCGTGATTTAAAAAAAAAATGCTGTCAAGCTCTGATTAATGTTTCCCATGATGGGTACGTTTGTTCTACCCCTTTAAAAGCACTTAGGGAGTTTTCTTTTTCTAAGAAGATAACTCATTGCCACAGGATATTGAAATTGCCCTAAGCAGAATTTATTTTAAAAGCTGCCCCATTAACAAAAGTGGAGTTTAGAAATTAACTGTTAAACATTGGAGAATTCTGGGCCATAAACATACAGGAGAACCTCTAGACAATTTACTCATTCTACAAATTGTGGGTGTAAAGGTAGAGTATTTGCTTAAAGATGCTTGTTTGGAATTAAGAGTGGGATTTCAGTCCAACAAACAATCCACAGCTTGCACATAAAAGCTCTACTTTTAAGAAAGCCAGTTGGTTATTGTGACCGAAATATTGTTAAGAAAGCCAGTTGGTTTTCTACAGATAACTACTCTTAAATTGTTATCAGGTACTTGCTAATTCAACTGACAAACTTGATAAAAGAGAGCGTTCATTTCTGAATCCTTTTTTTTTTTCCCAAATAGCTGCTTCTGAAAAGACCTTATTATCCCACTCTGATCAAGAATAATGTTGATCTCACAATAGTCTATACTGGGTATATTTTTTCCTTTATAAAATGAAGAATATTGAGGCCCTTTTAAGTAGTTTAAAGAAAGTCTCCTGAACAAACATTAAAGTCAGGTAAGGCCACAGGTTTCGTAGTATATAGAGATCCTGTTTTCCTTGCTTCAAAAAAAAAAGTAGTTTGTCACACCTGGCTGGGTGCTAAGCACCAGGTGTGCTTTCTACCTTTAATTAGGGTAGGCACCACATCATATATATTTGGGGGGTAGGGACAAAATAGTACAAATTAACAAAGGACAATAATACACATATGAGAGGGATAAAATTATCCCCCCACCCAATCTTTGGTTGATTTAAAAAACAAAAACAAAAACCCAATGAAATCAACCATAGGAGGTGCATGCCTTAAAGTCAGAGGCATATAGTTCCTTTTCTCTCTTCTGTTTAATGTTGCAAATATATTTGAGGAAGCCCAGTCCTCTTCCAGGAATAAACGATACACGTCGGTGGCAGATTTGCATGTTCTACAGCTTCTAATCCCTGGAATATTATCATCGAATGGTAGACATGGAAAGGTTAATATTTTAGGCCATTGGAACTGACTCCATCCAGAATCCCAGTTAGACAACTGCCTATCTTGGCTTGAAACAAGAAAACATTCACCACCTTTCTGGGAAATTGTTCCCTGACAAACTTGTTGTTGGGATTAGGATGTTGTCTTTTGACTCTTCTTCCAGATGGTTAATTCTGTACAGAAGTGTCTCAAGGGACTTCTCAATGCAAGTCCTTCTAAAACAGGGGTAGGCAACCTTGGCTCCTTCATGACTTGTGGACTTCAACTCCCAGAATTCCTGAGCCAGCATGGGGGAACTATGGCTCCTTTATGACTTGTGGTCTTCAACTCCCAAAATTCCTGAGCCAGCATGGGGGAACTATGGCTCCTTTATGACTTGTGGTCTTCAACTCCCAAAATTCGTGAGCCAGCATGGGGGAACTATGGCTCCTTTATGACTTGTGGACTTCAACTCCCAGAATTCCTAAGCCAGCATGGGGGAACTATGGCTCCTTTATGACTTGTGGACTTCAACTCCTAGAATTCCTAAGCCAGCATGGGGGAACTATGGCTCCTTTATGACTTGTGGACTTCAACTCCCAGAATTCCTGAGCCAGCCATGCTGAGGGGAAAGGGGTAGGTTTCCAACTTGAGCCATGCTGGCTCACGAATTCTGGGAGTTGAAGTCCACGAGTCATAAAAGAGCCAAGGTTGCCTACCCTGCACTAGAAGAAGACAATCGTTTCCACAGCTTCCTGCTTAGAACATCTCCACTAGTTGCAAATCGTGGATGTTGAACTCTGACACATATGGCGGGTTCCTTCCTGTCATCATCATCATCATCATTGTCATCGTTAATCATCATCATCACCACCACCAAAATAATGGTAGGCATTTTGTTCTGATTAACAGCTTAGTTGAACTTGGTGTTGCTTTGTGTCAACAGGACTGTTGGACTAGAAGTGAGCAGCTGATAGCTTAGGAAACCACCTCACAAGGACCAGCTGTTTGCTTGTCA